CCGCCATCTTTATCTAAAGTTAATCACAATCTGGTCTAATTACTATCTTCGAAAGTACCAGATTGACAGATCAGTTGTGTATGGAAGGATATACTTATTAACTCAAAGATCCTTTGACTTGAAAAAAATGATTCATTACATTTTTATGTAAAAGAATTGATGGCTATTGTTCTGCTTAAACCTGATTATATGGATAATGGCTCTCTATTGTTATGTGATGATTATTCGAAAACTAAAAAATTGAAACCATATACTACTCAATTGAAGAGACTGTTAGATTATTATGGAAAACAGTGGATGGAACCGTCAATCAGAACCATGATTTTATTTTATAATTGTCAATTTAGAACTAATAATTGGAACGAAGCTTACAATTTAGCTTTTCAAAATCGTGCTGAAAAGCCGCATCTCTCAGTCTGGGCTATGTTGGATTTGTTAATAACTGGAGAAATTGCAGTGCGATTATCTCACCATCAATCAACTGCTGGCAAACCAAAGAAGATTCCTCAAAAGTCTCACGATTCACCGAAAGCAATAGGTGATCAGGTAGAAAATATTAACGAAAAATTAGATAATGATAAAACTACATTGAATTCAGCATTGCAATCTCTAGTAGGTGTTATAGAGATTCAATATGATAAGTACAGAAATGGAAAGAAAGGTTTTTGTTATTTTTTTATAAGTTCAAAATTCTAAGTTTTGTCGTTTGAGAAACAGAGTATCTTCCTTTTGTCTGCTAATTTACTATGAATTGTCGTTATTTTGTCATCAACTTTATAAATGTTGTCTAATTTCAATTTACCAAATTTATCCAAACCGTACTCATTTCTAATACTTGCCTAATTATTTTCTTAAGTGGTTCAAGGAAAGTGCCACTATGAAACATGCGCTTCACAAATTCAATTTCATCAAATAAGCTCATGTTATTCCGAAGAAAATATTAGGGTATTAACTATGATGAAAGAGCAGTTATGACGAAGACAGTTTTGGACAGTTTGCTCTGTAGATGGAAAGTAAGAGGAATGAAAAGTAAGCGGAATTTGGTAACTACAGTTCTTAGTCATAATTCTGGCAGCTAACCGCTGCACAGATTCCGGTGGCTCAATATGGATAATGAAATCTGAGTCGTAGATTGGGGAGCACTAGTCAGTCAAGTTTAGGAATTACACAAGACTTACAAAGAAGTAACCGAGGTGAAACAGGCGCATCACAGACAACGCGATTTATGCTGCCTAGCATACGTCTGCAAGAATGAGCTGTTCTATATAGGAATGGACCATTTCAGGTGCTCCGATATATGTATGCCCAGAAGCTTTGGCGTTGGATCATGTTCGAAACGTTGATTATTAAGAGAAAACATAAATCCGATTGAAAATTCGGGTCCAGACAGAAATATGTCCATGAACACTTATCAATGTTGCATCGCATGTGGTTATTCACACACCAAGTACAAATAAGACTGATCCTTTTGCGGGGTAGAATGTATATAAGACATGTCTTCTTAATCAACATTTATAAAAGATTGTTAGGAGGAAAGTCGGACGATGTTTCGAACAAGAGAGGTGGAGTTGGTACTCTTAAATACCGGTCTTTTACCACTAAACAAACCCACATTCTTAAACTCTTTAATTCCTGTAGCGAACTTTAGTGCAGGATTTTAGTATCACGTCTGAAATGAAGCACGAACCCGACCGTTTACGGCTTGTTGAGGACGTGGCTTTTAATAAAGGCACATCGTATTCTCACCCTTCTATACTCAGAAAGTTTAGTATCAAGCTTCGAAATACCTAGAAATCTGTCAATATGTCTAAGCACCTGTCCTATTATTCTCCACTTATATTCTTGACAAAATATCTCACACTGTCCGCATAGTCATCCGTTATTGTGTTGTAGTACAAATATAAATACCGTGAGACATCCAGTTTAAATAACAAGAGTAATTTCACAGAATCTGATTAAAATGTATATAACGCATATTTTCTTAATCAACATCTATACATTTCTCACATAATTTATATTATCAAATTTTCCCGCCACTAGCGTATCGCTTCATCCAAAAACAACAATGAGAATCGAAACTCCATGAAGTTCATGGAGTTTCGATTCTCATTGATACGTTTATTTTGTATAAATGAGTTCATGGCATGAACTCATTTATACAAAATAAACGTATCGAGCTTCTGCAACTATTCCTCTACTCTGACAGCTTCTCATGTACAGTCGTTATAGCAGAATCGATAGCGCAACGAAGAGGATGAGCATCCGGCAATGTTTTTCGTGCCATACTAAACGACTTTTCATAATATTCCAGTGCTTTCTCATAATCACCTTGATTGTCATAAACTGATCCGATGTTATTATATGTGCTTGCAATATCGGTGTGATTTGGTGGAAGTGAAATCAAATAGATCTCCAGACATTTTTCATAAGATTTGAATGCTTTCTCATAATCACCTTGATTCTCATAAGCCAGTCCGATGTTATTGTATGTTCTTCCAATATCGGGGTGATTTGGCGGAAGTGAAATCAATTTAATTTCAAGAGATTTGTGATAAGATTTCAATGCTTTCTCATGATGACCTTCATTAGCAAAAACCAGTCCGATGTCATTGTATGTCCTTGCAATATCAAGGTGATTTGGTGGAAGTGAAATCAAATAGATCTCAAGAGATTTTTCGTAAAATTTCAATGCTTTCTCATAATCACCTTGCTTGGCATAAACCAGTCCGATATAATTATATGTTCTTGCAATATCGGGGTGATTCGATGCAAGTGAAATCAATTTAATTTCAAGAGATTTGTGATAAGATTTCAATGCTTTCTCATAATCACTTTCACTGCCATAAGCTGATCCGATGTCATTATATGTTGTTGCAATATCAAGATGATTTGGTGGAAGTGAAATCAATTTAATTTCAAGAGATTTTTCGTAAGATTTCAATGCTTTCTCACAATCACCTTGATTGTCATAAACCATTCCGATGTTATTATATGTTCTTGCAATATCGGGGTGATTCGGTGCAAGTGAAATCAATTTACTTTCAAGGCATTTTTCACAAGATTTCAATGCTTTCTGATAATCACCTTGATTGGCATAAACCCGTCCGATGTTATTGTATGCTGCTGCAATATCAGGGTGATTTGGTGGAAGTGAAATCAATTTAATTTCAAGAGATTTTTCGTAAGATTTCAATGCTTTCTCACAATCACCTTGATTGTCATAGACAAGTCCGATGTTATTATATGTTCTTGCAATATCAGGGTGATTTGGTGGAAGTGAAATCAATTTAATTTCAAGAGATTTGTGATGAGATTTGAATGCTTTTTCGTAATCACCTTGATTATTATAAACCAGTCCGATGTTATTGTGTGTTTTTGCAATATCGAGGTGATTTGGTGGAAGTGAAATCAAATAGATCTCAAGACATTTTTCATAAGATTTCAATGCTTTCTCATAATCACCTTGATTGGCATAAACCCGTCCGATGTTATTGTATGTTGCTGCAATATCAGGGTGATTTGGTGGAAGTGAAATCAATTTAATTTGAAGAGATTTTTCGTAAGATTTCAATGCTTTCTCATAATGACCTTGATTGTGATAAACCAGTCCGATGTCATTATATGTTGCTGCAATATCAGGGTGATTTGGTGGAAGTGAAGTCAAAGAGATCTCCAGATCTTTTTCATAAGATTTCAATGCTTTCTCATAATCACCTTGATTGTCATAAACCACTCCGATGTTATTGTATGTTCTTGCGATATCAGGGTGATTTGGTGGAAGTGAAATCAATTTAATTTGAAGAGATTTTTGATAAGATTTGAATGCTTTCTCGTAATCACCTTGATTATTATAAACCAGTCCGATGTTATGGTGTGTTTTTGCGATATCGGTGTGATTTGGTGGAAGTGAAATCAAATAGATCTCAAGAGATTTTTCATAGGATTTCAATGCTTTGTCATAATCACCTTGATTCTGGTAAAGTGTTCCGAGGTTATTGTGTGCCAATGCCTGAGCAGTTTGATCTAGCGAGGTGCCATCGAGCAACTGGTGGAAATATTGCTCTGCTCTGCCATTTTCACCCATTCTGATCAGCAACATGCCCAACATGTTCGGGTTGTTCGACACACCAAGTTCACGCTTTATATGGTTTGTTGACACGGTTAACTCGATGTCTTCGTCTCCATTTAGTTCTAGCTGAACATTCCAAACGTCTTCGTACTTCAGGTTCTTGATGGAGACAATCCGAAACACGGTGCCCATCGAAAATAGAATTTCATCTTCATCACTAGAACCACTCCCTGTTTTTATATTTGAGAATGGCTGTCTACATTTGTCGGTGTCAACGATCATTTCAAACAGAATTGACGTAATGTCTGATCTGCCTAATGAGCTGCGAGCAAAGCGCATGGCCACGGCTTCTTGACCACTTGTTAACAAGAAGCTGTTCATCGATAAAAGTCCTCCTACTTTCTTTTGTAAACTTTCGAACTCCTTGTTGGGTATCCCCAGTCCACGATAGACAGTGGTTGTTCTTCCGAGACGGGTAGTCGATGAGTTTTGAAGATTGCGAAGCTCGTCGTAAAGGTCTTTGATGAAAAAGCCGAGCTTGAATAACATGTCAATGTCTTGTGTTCGTAATGCTTTATTTAGCATTCGGTAGAGAAAGCATTCTTTCGTGTACCACTCGATTGCTTGCTCTTTCGAGTACGTTTTATAAAATTGATCGATGACATTTAGTTCTGTGTTATTGCCCGCATAGTCCTTTCGACACAAATCAATCAGTTCTTGTTTCGTTGATTCTTTGTGAGTGAACTGAGTTAAAATATTGACAAGTAATTGGAAATACATGAATGATGCTTCTTGTTTGTTTATTTCTTTACCATTTGCACTGGGTGCCATAGCGGTCATGGACACAAGATTATTGGAGCTAATTGCCACATTTTTCGTTAGTTGATAACAGATATCATCGATACTCGTGGAAACAGCACATACCTTCTCGTAGCCTTTCGCCCACTCTTCGTGTTTCGCTTTATTGAAGCCAAACACGTAAATAGATTCTATTTGTGGTTTGTCATGAATCAGTGGCACAACAGATTCGCCTAACGAGCCAGATACGATAAAATATATTTTCTCTGATTCAAGTGACACTATGTGATCGATACACTTTTGCTTATCCTCGAAAGTTTCAAAGTGATTTATTGCTTGACGCAGACGAATCTTTGCATTCAAATTATCGGTTGTGGAACTAACGTTCAAGTCAAGCCAAATGATGGTGTTCACTTCCAAATTTCGTCGCTGTTGAGACCAGATTTCCTGCTGAGAGCCGCTTTGAATATGTGCAGCATTAGCAGTGGAAATTGTTGCCGACTTTGGAGTTTTCTTGCTCATTGTTTGCTAGCTTTCTGTTTAGTGATGCTGATCCTTAAAACAAATAGCAGTGATGAGTGATGCTTAGGCGATTTCCATGTCTCTCCTGACTTCTCTTTTGTTTCATCATTCTCATGTAAATTTAAGGTGAGAAGATAAGTTAGTAGTCGCGCGTTAGTGTGGTTCAGTGATGAATTTATTCATTTGCTAAGCAGATAGCTATAGCTCAAATTCGGTATGCGATATATTTTTCTAAATTGTCAAACAACTTGTACCCATTAGTGTCTCAAACGCCTAGGTGGTCGCCTGAGCACAAAAAGTATGTAAAGTTCCTCAGCGGTTTTCAAGTCCACTTAAACTACTTTTCCTGTTTCAGTAATTCTTGTTTGTGACCTATTATTGGGGACATTTGCTCGTCAGTCCCAATCAATCCAAATTACACCAAAATTCCAACACATACTCCATTCTCTTTTTTCATAGGTTGGATTTCAACAGAAGTTTTAGGAACCAGTCGAAGGAACGCGGTTTTTGAGGAAGTTCTGTGGAAATCTTTAGAAATAAAGGAATGATTTTCAGATCTTAATTAGAGGACCGAATTGATTTGGAGTTGGTGTCCAGGATATCGGACTGAGATAGGTCCGTCCCAGAAACGGCTGTAGATCCGGGAGACTGACAGCAAGCGATCTGAGACTTGTAGAAGACATTCGAAGCTATTTAAGTTGAGTTACTTTAGTTGAAAACTACTTCGGCTTCGGTATCGAACGGTCTCTTCTCTATTCACCAGCTATGTACACGACCCGAAAACCTGATTCGAAAAAGCCGCCATATATGAAGTGATGCAGTGAAGTCTTCTCCACAAGCCAGCGAAAACCACAGGTCTCTATCAGTTTTTGTTCTTGAATCTTGAGGAAAACAACCGATGCCATTTGATTTCGAAATGGATAGTCACTATCCATAAGATACTTCCCACTTTCTACTGTTCCATTGTGAAATAAGCAAAAGTATCTTATTATCATTCGATAAAAATTGATAAAGAAACAGCAACCCCAGAAAGATACATTAGAAAATTATTGATAAAATAAAACACAAAAATTGGTTAAAATTATGCTCAAAAGAACATGTTTTGACTTTTTAACTATATTATATGCTTTAGTGTGCCGAGTCATTATGGGCCAAAAAATGTGCGTTTTGAGCACACTGGCCGCAGCCATTCTACACGGTCACTCGATACGAAAAGCGATCACTTTAAGTATGACCAGTGCACATTTCTTTTAGAGTGCAGCTATCACATTTGATTGACTTACACAGAAATTTACCTAAACTAGCACTTATCAATATATCAGACAGATCCCGAACTTCACAAGGAAAACAACTAATTCATCGCTTTTGTCTGGTACAATAGAAGAGTGGAATAACCTTCACAGAGAGAGAGAGATGATCTCGTTATTTTTGATGAGTGCTTTCAAACTACATGAACATCTACGTTCAGCTCGCTCATAGTATCTCTATTTTTATTCTTTCCATGCATTTTTCCTTTCCTTTGAACAAAAGCTTTCTTTTCTGTTTTTTGTGGTGTCACAGGTATCCTAGTTACTAACTTGTTTCATTACTTTCTTAATTTCTCTAATCGTGACTAGATAAACATCAGCTGTCAGACCATTCATGCTTCTGGCATCTCGTCAGCTGACCTACTGTTGCACAGTAAACTATGTAATAAGTTGAGCTCAGAAATATATGACCAGCTTCGAAATGCTGCTTCATCAAAAGTTTGCTATTCAAATCGTGCTGTTTTTGTTACTAACATGTTGCTTGGCCATAAAATTCCTTTTCTTCTTTCTTCGAATTTGCTTGACATAAGTGTTTATTTGCTTAATATAATTGCGGGACAGCACACGATGCAGTCAACCGAAACTAGACATGAAAATGATTCGAAGAATGTGACGAAAAACATGCAGAGTAAAAGCACACTGTCAAAAAAAAGTGTCTTGATAAACCGCTCGACTGGCTTAAAAATGCTTCCACAATGCGTTTTGAAGGCACGTTAGGTGCATTTTCTCCTCTTTTTACTGTGAGTCGCCTTAATGTCTTCGAAAAAACACCTCTAAGTCGTGGCTTTTTTCGAAATAAATAGCTTAGGTACATTTGATAGACATCACTAATATATCAAAAACGCACAATGCACTAACTACAGTCAAGCTCCTTATTTTGATATGATTTCCATTTATCATTTCTTACAATGCCTTTATCAGTTTTATTCGATTCAATATAACTGTTTCATCTTATTCTGCTGTAATTGAGTCATTTTTAGTTTATTAACCGCCTTACTTTTAATTTGTTGCTTGCGTATTTAACCATGACTGTGTCTGCAGACACAGTCATGGAAGCATGCGATGTAAAAAGTCTAGTTGCAGTTTGGTTGAGAAATGTTCTTCCACCGGAGGTTGATCATGATCTACTTTTAATCTTCTTGTTATATAGGATTGTTATAAGCTTTATGCTATTGAAAGAAATCAGAGTACAACTATGGTGCCTGCTACATCAATATGTATGAGAAAAACAATATTATATTTTGAAGTAAACCCTCTTTTTTCAATATATCAACTTAATATCAAAAATATACTGTTTGCAACCACACTATCTTTAATTAAATTAGCGTCATCTGTTGTCACAATTTTTCACATCAGCTCACTACATTAGTACTTCAAGAGAATAAAATCGGAGACAATGGAGCAGAGCTTCTCACGGAAGTGCTGAAATCGAACAAAGTAAGATACTTTTCCAACTGATTTATCTATTATGGAAGGTTACTTTCTCTCACAAAACACTTAATAAATTGTTGATAGTTAACAGTCGAATACGAAATTACCGTCGTAAGATTCTTCAGGCGCAGTTGCTAAGATTTCATTTTG